ATGAAGCGGTGTAGGGATCGGGGAGGGGACTACATTGAAGGGGATAACATTTCGCCTGTCTGGTTTTTTTTTTAATAAAGGGTTAGAGCATGAATCCGGTTTCTTTATTGCCACACCTTGTATACACATTTCTTTATTAATATGGTGTTTGACCACTTTTTGCCTTCAATACAGCCACAATCCTTCTTTGAATGGACTCGTACAAGTTTTGAATAATCTCTAGTACAATTTTATACCATTCTTCTTGAAGGACATCTTCATGTTGCTTTAGAGATGTTGGAGATGGGGAATCTCTGTTCTTCGCTCTAGTCATCAAGATGAGTATCCAGTTCTGCTGTCACCTGTGCTGCAGTAGTGGTGTGATTTTTTTTGAAACCGTCTTCAGTGTACCTGATTTTCACCCACTGTTCCACTTCACTGATGTAGTCTTCCCATAATTCATGTATGCCGACACAACATTAGAAACTGTCGCTGTCAGGACGCCTTATGATGTGGCAGTGTTTGTCACAGATGCTCCAGCTAAACATGCACCAACAATCTGTCCTCTTTCATAATCAAACAAGTCTCTCACTGAACACAATCTCTAATGCACTGACATCAGCAATGTAGAGTGTAAACAAACGCAATAACATTCAGTGTTGCCAACTGAAGTTCTTTTAATGTAGCAAGCACAAATTCCCTTCCTCAATTTTGTAGTGTTTCCATTATTTTGTCCACCCCTGTATATAGGCTGTGTTTTTAGGTGGCATACATTCAGCCTATAATTCAGATGTTACTGTGTGTGCTCTACTTAATCTTGGGTATCTGTAACTTTTAATTGAAGAGTATACTTTGTGCTTAGGAAAACAAACCAATCACTTCTGTCTGTGTTGATGCTGTTACAAGTGCTTCAGCATCACTGATAGTATTCTTTGCATACACATTAAATAGGCCCAGTATGAACTTACATATATTTCTGAGTGAAAATAATGCCCCATTTTTTTATTACCCCCTCTCTTTATAAATGGCAGAGTTTTCCATGTGTGTAATTAATTAAGCACCACACCATGGAGGCATGTGGGGGAGTAGAGGTATAGGTCCACCATTCTTAACCTCATTACATTAGTACAATAACCATGTAAGAATTTTGTTTACTTTATTTAAAACCAGTCATTGTTATTGTATGATGACATAAACATATAAGAATTACAGAATAATAATCAACTTATACCAAATTATATTTCTGCATTCTGAGTTGTCTAGTATTACAGAATGTTTGTAATAACAACAGCCTAATTAATATGATATAAATATTGGCAGTGGCACCCACAAATAAAGCAGGACAGCCAGCTCTTGATTATTCAGGGTAACAATGAGAGAAACAATAGAATATACACACTTATGTTTATATATAAGTCTTCATGCTTTCTTAATAGTTTGTAGCTAATCTTTTTTTCAATTTTTGGGGCGATAACACACATTGTTAGCATGAAACCACTTCATACATGCTAACATGGGCTCTCAAAAGTCCTTCATATCTCTCTCTTTTTTTTTCATATTTTACTGACATAGTACAAGTCTTTCAGTTGCATTGGTCTGTATAATAATAGTGATTGCTTTGAATCCAGTAGTGGTCTCTGGACTTAGTATTGTCTTGATTTGCCATAGTAGAACAGATCATGAAGCACCAAACATTTATTATTCATGACAACTTTTTATTTTGGAATGAATTGCACCATTTCTTGGGACTTTTCTGTCTAATCCTAACCCTTTCAGACCCTGGATGCAGTGTGGAGTGGGAGATAATAAGTTTGTGAAATGACATTTCTGATGGCTGACATTGGCTGTAGGAGAACTGATCTTACTAGGAACCAGTTGTCGAAGAATTAAATGTATTTAGCATCCAAAGTAAACCGGATAATTACCAAACAAATTGATTCCATAATTTCATGAGAATGGAAGGAAAGAGACATAACTAGAAAATGTTATCAATATACACCAAAAGGTGTAAAGTAAGGAAAACCATATAAAAGATGGAAAGAACAATTCTGAATGAGATCTTTCAAAGATGGAACAATCAAATAATACTAATCCATGAAATTGGTGGTAATGAGCATTTGTAATACCGAGGGTAGCACATGATGATGTGCAGTGTAGGGTTTTTGTTTTTGCTTTACAAAGAAAATATGATAAATGGATAGTATGTACAATTGGAATGCATTTTCTGCATCTACTTCAAGTGTTAGGCCATTGGCCTGTTTTGACTTCAAGAGAATAAGTCCTCCCATCTAGCTGTGGGTCATCCAATACTTCGTGTCCTTTGGGTAATAGCCTGTAATAGGCTATGGAGGTCCATAGGGTTGTGAGACGTCAAGGCTCCCCAATCTTTAAGACAATCAGCTCACAGATGGCAGTGAGTTTGTCAGCCTTACGCGCCAGTCGCCCTTACGTTCAGGAAGATTCCTGGTATTCATTTCTATTAGAGGTTGAGTCAAGACCAGCGCCATAGTGTGGCTGAAAGGATTAGGTCAATTAAAGAATCCAGTGTCCTCATTGGGAATCTAACCTGCGACCTTCTGGCATGTGTGGTATAGCCATGCCTGGGCCTGTGCATTATCATTGTCACAAGGACTATCAGCAGTGGCTTACATTTTGGAAGGAATAGTAATCTTTAAGCATTATATATATATATATATGACTGCCCCTAGAAACTATTTCCGTTTCAGATAATTCTCTCATACTTCATTCATTCTCACTCACTGACATGTTTGATGATCCACATATGCCACATTTTTAGGCCTGTGGATTAGATTTTTTGCGTTTTGACAGAATATCTGATTTATGAAGTATAACCCTTTAAAATATGGCATTATTTTCATATGGCACTTACCCTTCTTTGTATTTTGAATGAAAGCAAGGGAATTGCTCAGATCAGTTTGGTAATGATCAATAATCAGTCATATTATGATATATTAATTAAAAATTTTTTAGGGGTACACAAGATAAGTTGTCTGAAGTATTTATATCAGTATTCATATGTGAACAAGCATACTTGTTTCATTGCAATCAGTAGAGTCATGGAGATTTTACTGTGGAAGGATTATTACACAAAATTATGACACCCTATTACACTCACACACAAAACAATTGTATTTATACCACTACTTCAATATGAAGTAAAATAATATATTCCAGCTCATCTGTGTCTGTCACATTTTCCCTTTTCGTTACTTAAAATTATTCTAAAGATTTGATGCATTTTTAAAAAAGTGAACATGGTTCTTACAGGAAGAATTTTTAATATGATTTCAGAATAAGATCCAGTCTTGACTGACTATATGGCATAACACACTGTACAGCTTGACCTTGGCATTAGCTGGAGGTGAGTGGTCAGCTTCATGCCTAGGCCGCTTTACCCCCAGTACCCATAGGATAGGAGGCTGGGTGGGCCCCAGAACCAGTCTAGATGATGTGGAGAAGAGAACATTCTTCACCCTACCGGGACTGGAACTCCAATCCTTCTGTTGCTCAGCCCATAGCCAGTTATGAATGTAATGGATAATGAAATGACTTTATGCAGTTTGGCCAAAACAGTTCTGAATAACAATACTGAACATTATAAAAGAAGGATGTAGTGTAATGTCAGAATCTTTGAAAACAGTCTGAACGAGAAACCATATTTAAAAGAGATTTTCAGAATATTAATTAAGCTTTCAGTTCCAACTTTTGAAATACTTATATCGGACATTTTAAAATATACATAGGAATTATAGGAGTACTTGGAACTCTGCTGCACTCTAGTTATATAACAGAACTGTACATAAACAATATTTACATTCTAGAGACACATTACAGAACACTTATCACAGCGGTAGCATCAGATTCTAGTGGTCAGTGTTCAAATGACCAGCACGTTAGTTCTTCTTATTATGAGTATGTAAACTGTCAAAAAAATTCTCAATATGTAAATGGAAGTCAACCAAGTTCCTGATATTATCTTTTCTTTAGGAGGAATGTTTTCTGCAGTCTGTAATTCCATCACATGTACTTGATCACAATCATGAATATCACATTACGCTAAGATTTCCTAATGTAAATGCATTTTGTTTTAATTTAACAAATGTTCACCATTACATATCAAAGAGTGTACCGATATCACAAATCTTTCAATTTTTTCTGGGGTACTATACTTTATGTTACAGTATGGTACAGTCACAGCACTGCATAATACAGTAGAGACACTGCACTCCACAACTTTCATCAGGTTTTTGGTCTTCTGTTGGCCAATTTCCATCTGTTTTATCAGTCTCATGGCTAATTTCTTTGTCTGTCACACCTAAAGATTTGGCTTGAACTTCGATAGACAAGGGAATATCATCAGCTTTTTCAATAGCCTCTTCATTTTCAAGGCTCCTTCGGTTCGGTGTTGGTTGATTTGCAGGGCAGTGTTGTATTTGGAAGGAATGATTTAATTCCTGGGCAGCCAGAGTTTTATGTATTGTCCCAGTACTAGTAGTCTCGTCCAGATCGTTTGGACTCAACTGTACAGCCTTGTCCAGCATACGCTTCTCATTGATTGGCGGGTTCACTGCTGTTTCTTTGCGCTCAAAATTGATCTGATTGTATGATGCAGGGGAGTCTTCAGACATCACAGGACTGAAAAGCAAAAAGAGTAAAGTGAATATACAGTAACATTCACAGAGCTCAATTTTAAAATTATGTATTTACTAATTATTGCTTATTTATTAATTTATTATTATTATTATTATTATTGGAAGGGGTGGGTTTCCCCATGCACTGCGACTAATAGTCTATTGTACGTCGCCCTTTGATATTCTACCAGTCGCCATACCCTGGCGGTACTGGTGCTCGCTATCAGCCCCGTTCAGCCAGCGAGGATGGCAGCGGTACCCGATAACTTCCCCTTATACCGGAGGCATTGGAAACTACTTGGGCGGGAAACTTTTTGCCTAATTTTGCTCAGAGATCTCCTAGAGACATGAGGATCTACGACACGGGAGCCACGGCTTAAAGTCCCTCCCGGAGGACTTGTTCCCTGAATTTTTCCGCCCTTAAAAATTCCACGACCTCCGCCGGGTATTTGAACCCGCGTACCTTGAGTCATGAGGTGGGAACGTTACCCCTAGACTACGGAGACCGCTTTATTTGTTAATTTACTTTGCTACCTGCTTAAACAATGGTATTGTCATGTGTAGGTGTGACTACTGGACGGGATTTTGATTGGATGTTTGGATTTGTTGCACCTATACACTCAACTCATAATTAAAAGTAGTACTACCGCTAATCGCTGCACTTTACAGTTCACTGCTGCAAACACTAGTGATCTCAGTCTATTACAGTCTCCACTATCCATTTCCTGGCAATGGATTTCAACACAGGAACTCTAACCATTTCACTGAAGTGTACACTCCAAATATCGCGGTAATATAGCACACACAAAGTCTTCTCTTCACAGCCAGACTTTCAACTCCACTGAAGTGAACTCAGTAAGTCTGATGCCTCAATTTAATTCCTCTGCTCCCAAGCTCTTATCCTGGCAGGCTGACATATCGAAACTCAACTGACTTCAACGATATTTTTAGGCCTTTTTATAATCTTTCGGCACGAATCACTCAGAAAACACAGCCTCTCTACTGTTGAGGAGGCGTTTTTACCGCGCCGTTGCTTACCAACGGTCGCAGCGCAGACTACCTACAAAACACCACTCTTCTATTGTTGCACGCTTTCTTTTCCGCGTGAATGTGTTTAGCGAGTCATTGCTTTTGAACGGGTTGCATAACCCCGTTGTTCTATTGCTGCGGGCGATACATAGCAACGCCACTGTTTCAGAGTCACCGCTTAGCAACGGGGCTATACGCCACAGTATGTTTTGATCATGGAAGAGATATTTTACATTTGCCAACTGGCATATTACAAACGAAAAGACAGATGATTTAAAAAGGAATTTAAGGATGAAATCTGAGGATGCGAACTGGATTCATCTTGCTCAGTATAAGAACTAAACAGGCTCTTGTGAACATGGTAAAGAAATTTTGAGTTCCATAAAAGTCAGAGAATATATTACCGTATTCTCAAGGACTCTGTTGTATGGCGTAAGTGAGTTTGTTAGTCAGATAGAGGGAGAAAACATGCCTGAAGTGCTGGAACTCTCCGTCCATGAATAATAAAAGATTATCTTTTATCAGGAATATCCCATAGAGACCATCAAGCAGCAATGTGAAATTCTCAGAGGATGATGGGGTGTCATTCACATACGAGTATTGGTGCTGACAGGGTAAAGGCTGTTCCCCCCACAAAAAAGGGCCCTGTAAAGTTTTTTTTATTGCTAGTGGTGTGGGACTAAGTCCCTTATACTGCGGCCACTTCTGGCCTATTGTACCAGCCCCAGATTGGGGCTGGTGGGTGATTGTGGAGGGTTGGAGGGTGATTGTGGAGCAATTGGTGGACTGAAGATTGGCAAGGGAAACCGAAGTACTCGGAGAAAACCTGCCCCAGCGCTACTTTGTCCACCACAAATCCCACTTGACCAGACCCCGGGCCGCCGCCGTGGGAAGCCAGCGACTAACCGCTTGAGCTATGGCGCGACCCTTAAGTGTGGAACGCTTCACGCTTGTGCGTGTCGTCCTTTCGCAGGGACCAAGCTAATCTTCTCTGTATCGTTCCAATTTTAGTACCGTATGTACAGCCGAAGCGAGTACCCCTGTAAAGTTACTTTTGCTAGTTTGAACTCCGGCCACATTCTTGCTGAACGAAATTATAGTATGGAGATAGGTAATAAATCATCGAAAATGTGAAAAATTTAAAATATTTGAAATTAATATCAGACTGAACTCAGGGAATGCTTGATATATTCGTTTCAAAACCTTGTCTTCCTGACTCCTGTCTAAAAAATGTAAAGACTAAAATATGAACTATAATTGTATCTTCATATGATTTATAAGTAAGTAAAGCTATCCCTGTAACAGGCCGTGGAGGCCCATAGGGTTGTAAGATGTTGAGGTTCCCACATTTTCTAGATAATCGGCTCACAGATGGCGGCAAGGTTGTCAGCCTTACGCGCCGCCCGCCTTTACCCCCAAGAACATCCCAAAAATATTCCTGGTACTCATTTCTGTTAGAGGCTGAGTCGACCCCAGGGCCACAGTGTGGCTGGGAGGATTAGGTAAATTGGAAAAATCCACCTCATCGGGATTCGATCCCGCGACCTTCCGGCTTGTAGCATAGTGCCTCAACCAACTACGCTACCGCGTGCCCCCTCGTATGATTTATATGTGCGTGGTCTCACTTCAAGAAAGGAACGCACAGTGAGGCTTCTTGAGAACAGCAACATTTTGTGTAGACCCCGTATACTAATTTTAACTAAATCCAACTGTTATGTAGTTGCGGTGTACAGACGCACACACCTGCCATTATTCATTCATTCCATATATCGAGTGCAAAAAGAACGATCAAAGTTGACGGTTGAAGTAAGGTTACTTTTCGGACTTGTAAGGCCGTGCTACTTTATGGTGACCTCTGCAGACAGTATCAGAGGGAAAGGCCGCCAAGAGTACTGGGCTAAGCCAAGGTAATGAGCTCCGACTCACGAGTAGTAATAACAGTGGCAGCTGTTGGTAAAAACTGAAACGTGTTCAGTGACTAGACACGGGGTTTGGATTGGTAATTGGCAGTCAGTAATCTACTCACTTTACAATTCACTATTGCGCGCATTAAATGTTCTCTGTTCGTCTTCAAGTCAAATTTTACATGTTAAACATGTTAATAAATGCACATAAAATATATACAGGGCCTCTGTCAATCCAAGCTCACTACAACAGATTATGCCCTATTTCTAATAATCTTCACTCAAGTCAAAGTCACATTGCGACTGACGGTCGGTCAGTCAGTCAGTCTTGGTGTAGAGTCCAATCTGGGGCTTATGACCAGATATTAATTACTGTCTGACAGTTACGGTCTTGTTTTTTTTTTTGTGTGTGTGTGGCGCCCTCTCTGACGAGAGCACGGGTCTGTCTTTTGTATATGATCCTGGTCCTCGGCAGTGCAGTCATTCTCGGGTCCGAGTCGCTTGGGACTCGCAACCATATTTTACTGTCTCAGATCTGAGACTTCCCTTTTCGTCGCCTTCTACAACTCGCAGTAAATGTTTGACCCCGCCTCCACACGGGTTTCCTGACACCACTCCACTAATTGTCCTACTTATAACATCTCGGAACGGACCGTACAGAAAACATCGTTCCTGTTACTATTCAATTGTTGCTTAGCGGACCGCGCAGAAAACATCATTCCTCTGTTGTTCGCAAGCCGCTGCCCAGTCGCCTATCTCGCTGTCGCCGTCTGGCAACGAGTCTACATGAATGATGTTTGCTGTTGTGCCACAGTCAGCAACATTACTTTCTCTTTTGTGACTGAGCATAATATTTGCCTTCTAATGTAGGTTACTTACCTCGGATCCGACTGTATTTTTTTCCCAAGAAGGGACAGTCAGATATATTTGTTACAAACTTATGTTAAAGCTGTTGAAGAATATTTCTACTAATCACCCTACAGTACTCACAATTGAAGAATACGTCTCTTTTAAATACTTTTAATTTTTGGTACTAATATATGGTATATTTACGCAATTTCTCAATTTGAATTAAAAAAAAATCTAGGGGACGCAGATGCCTGGCTTTCCGGCACCCATGGTTACTTAGTGTTGGTGCATATAACAATGTTTTGATGCTCACCATTATCATAACGACAGACACCTAACACTCGACTTCTCTTGTACAACCTCCTAAGACAAGAGAGGTTTCGGCCATTAATTCCCGCACAACTCTACAGCCACCTCAGAATTATGGGACTGTCTATATTCTGTTTACTTACTTACTCATGTAGCTGAGCCCTTCTGGAGGAGACGCCAATTCTGCAGCTACTCAAGAATTTCCCAGCATTTTATGGAACCCGAAGGTTCATTACCGTGTTCACTAGAGCCCTCCACTGGTCCCTATCCTGAGCCAGATCAATCCAAATACCATCCCATCCTATCTCTCTAAGATCCATTTTAATATTGTCAACCCACCTACGCCTTAGTCTTCCCAGTGGTCTCTTTCCTTCTGGCTTTCCCAGTAATATCCTATATACATTCCTCGTCTCACCCATTCGTGCTGCATGCCCTGCCAACCTCATCCTCCTTGACTTGATCATTCTAATTATACTTGGAGAAGAGTACAAGTTATGAAGCCCCTCATTATGCAGTTTTCTCCAACCTCCTGTCACTTCATCTCTCTTCGGTCCAAATATTCTCCTCAACACCCTGTTCTCAAACCTCAGTCTATGTTCCTCACTTAGTGTCAGGGACCAAATTTCACATCCGTACAGAACCACAGGCAAAATTATAATTTATGTATTGTTTGCTAAAATAAATTATGCGACGTAATCCGGTAAATTCGGAGCCACTGTCTTATGATAAATGCACTGAAAATGTTCAGTATGAGTATCACAGTCTGTAGATTCGCGCTGCTCTCTCCAATGAAGCGTCATAACGCCATTTCATGGCGTGTTTAGTACTTGCTGTCTCCTTAGTTCTCATATCACGCAGTTTCGATAGAGCGGAAGTAATGCGAACATTACTATATGCCATAAGACACCTCCCCCGAATGGCTAGGTTCAACGGCTGGCAAATATGTGATGTTTGACGTGTCTAAGGAGAATACTTGGACCTAAGAGTGAGAAAATAAAGACAACTACAGAAAAACAAGTGCATAGTAACGATATGAGATTTGAGGTTCTCACGGTAATGAGTATTAAGATTACGAACTTCTCGAATGTGACGCCATATAGTTTGGTAGACTGACACCTACATGCCAAGTTACAGGCGGGTCGTGTCCCAGAAGGCGTAATATACTTCGCTATATTTTCGGATGGCCAGTTCAAGAAGAATGAGAAAACGTGAATACGACAGTTATTCGGAAAACCCGAAGGACAGAGACTACATGAGACACGGGAAACGTTGAAGAGACCAGTTGGAGAGACAGAAGAATATTAAAATGGGGTTTAAAGAAACTGGTTATGAGGGTGTGGGCTTGAATACTCTGGCTACGGATTGGGCCCAATGGAGAGCACTTCCTACTATAGTAATGAAACTTCGGGTTCCATAAACGACTATCAGCTTATTAACTCTACTCATGCGGGGAGGGAATTAACTTCGCAACTAATACAGCCAGCTGTTTTTTTTCTAATACCGTAAAAACTGATTATGCTACCATACTACTTTCATTAGTTTCATGTTACTTGTAAAACAAATGAACCTCAAGATTTAACGTTCAACTGTTTGTATTAGTTTGGATACCTAAATAAACTAGTAACGCATTTCTGTAAAAAAAAACGCATGGAGTCAAACTTATATAAGGTAACAGTGAATACATTGCAAGCATGCTATCCGCATGGAGTTTGCGGTGTCTTGCCTTGCATGGTTTTGAGGTCAAAGCCTGCCCAGAGCACGAGTACATGTGTCTGTTTCATAATCTGCAATGGGACTGTCTCCATCTTGAGATAGCCGCTCCGACAAAAAAAAAATGTTAATAAGAAGACAAATTATTTTACAGGGAGAGAGTGTATGTGGTGTTTCCATCTCTTGTTAGCAAACAAGTACCCTGAACTGTGCCATAACGAAAAGGGGCTCCTCATACAGGTTTATGTGGATTTCTGTGGAGGTCGTTGATAGAGGGCAAAAGCATAAAGGCCTCAGATTGAGTTTAAACCTCCCAATTCCTACCTCCGCCCCAGATTTAATGTACATTCGACCTCTTTGGGTGAGATTATTTGTGCCTCCACATCATCGGTATAAAATGCTTACATTACTGTAGCAATAAATCCCTTAGGGATCACTCAGATAGGAAGCAGAAATCCTACTCTCATGCCGTCCATAGCATGGTCACGAAGCTCAGGAGTATGAGGTAAACGTCAAGTCAGACCTTCAAGTATTAGATTAATATTCAGACACTAGTCTATAGCACTATGTGATATCAATCTTGTTCTTCAGTATCCAAGCGTTTTTAGACTAATTTCCTTATTTTGAAAAAAAAAATACAAATGAGGCTTATGAGAAGATCACCTTGCTGTCTGTGTATCCTTCTGTCTGTCCTTGTATCCACCTAATTTGTTATGGTTATGAGGCTTATGATATAACCTTGCTGTCTGTCTACCTCCCATAATATTTGTTAGGAGGATTATAAGAACACCCTGACGTCCGTATCCCACACTTCAAAACTTTTCGTTTTCTATGAGGTCCGTGTCACATCAAAGGAAAGTAGGCAATTAGTGCTTCCCAGAACTTCTTTTTTCCAGTTTGTTTTCGGTGATTCCCACACACACGCTGGACACTTACGCTTCGTTTCTTTCTGCCTAGAGTTTCAGTGGTTTCTATGAGTATAACAGTCAATTCAGTCGTACACATTTAAACGCTTTTCCTTATGGCGGTCTACGTTATCGGACATAACAGTACACAAAACAAACGTACCACTTCATCTCAAGGCAGCAACAGAGCGGACAAGATCTGCTAACAAAAGATCAAGGTTCCTTTTCCCACGCACATTAAATATGAGAACATAAAACACTGCATGTACCAACCCACAATGATTTATCAGTCATCGTCAGCAAACGAAAGGTAAATAGAGTGTTTTTTTACTGCTAGTGGGGTGGGACTAAGTCTCTTGTA